TTGTTCGACCGACATACACAGGTATTTTTCACAGCATTTGATATTTTAAAACTTCAGAAAAAAACTCCAGTGCCCAAACACAAATTTCAGACATGTTAATGTTCGTGTCCACAGCCATAATGGCGCACACACACATATTAATGGATGGACAGTCAAGTGTACTTTGGAAAGAATCGTGAAACGGCGATCGGGAGGGCAGGCTGACTGACTGAAGCAACGCCATACCCATACCCGTGCCTATGCCATAGGAATTTACCGTATTTTGTTTGACAACTATGCAAAATATGTGGCATTATGATCGACTCGACTAAAATGTAAACTCAATGGCTGTGCGCATGCTCAGTTGTAAAACAAAATCCATGGCAATTACAAAATCGAATGGCAGTAGCAACAGCACCATTATGGAGCGTTTCAGCAATCCTAGTGGTCAAATTAACAAAGCACACATGTCCGAATGTCGTCGGATGGAGTTGGTGCTCTGTTTATGGCCAACGCATGTGGGCGCTTAAATTCGTACAGGAAATTCCACAACGTTTCCATCATATCAAATCTATGAAATTAAAGCTCCGTTCATATCAATCTAAGAACTAAATTGAATTTGGATATGGTTTTTGTTCGTGCTACAGCTCTTGGGTAATCAAGAATACTAATAGAGGACTAAACACTATCATTTTAATTCATGGCTTCGAATGACCGATGTCCCAGAGACACACAAAGAAGAGAAATAATCGTCAAACTGGTTGTGGCTATTGGAGTTCGCATGGACAAGATGGAAAAGTCGTAGTGGCTGAAAGATTGCAGCAAACCACAATTGCATCAATCGGTCATCAGAAGTTTCTTTATACCCTCCACTGTAGTAACACCTCGAAATATCTATCTTCCGAACGAAAACAAAGGTTGACATAATTGTATTCTGATGTGCGTTAAGTCTAGTGGACTTTTGGTATTGAAAATGGGCTATATATGTCCACGTTTTGGTATAACCCCCATATAACTATACCGACGGATTTAATGTTTTTTGTGTGTTTAAGTCACAATTTTAATCAATAATTGCTGTAAATTGACAGATTATCTCCTCATTATATATAACTGTCAATATAGGTCTAAGTTTAGATATAGTCCCCCCAACTGTAGCTCCCTATATTCTGTATTTTGATGATCTTAACGGCATTATTCACAGTCCATGACGGAAAATTGCATATGCAGGTACAGGCCTTCGTTCAGCCTCCATATAACGGCACCTCCCAATATTCGGTGTGTTGATGATTTTAGCGAAAATATTCACCGAATTGTTTCAAATTTCGTATTTGAAGTTCCTACTGGGTACTACAGTCCATGGCAGAAAATAGTGTATGCAGGCCCATGTCTTCGTATAGCCACCACATAACGATATTGGGTATTTTGATCATTTTGGCGCTTTGTTCACCGGAACTGTTCCAAGTTTCAAGTAATGACCTATGACAAAAATTGCATATAGAGGTACATGTCTGCGTATACATACAGGTCCATATTGTAAAATTCCTTTGATTTTGAATAAAATCTATTCAATTTGGGCTGATATTTCATATATGATGAGCCATAACCGTAAAAGGGTGTGTATCGAAAAAATCTGGACCGATCTCGATAAATTTTGGCAGAGGTATTTTTGAGCAGTATATGATGCCCGGTACCAAATATTATTGTTGTGGAGAGCATATTACGCATGTGACTGACTTAAAATCGGATGAAATATATACATGGAAGCTATAGCTATATCTGAACCGATTTTCACCAAATTTGAATTACCTATTGCTAGGATGAATTCAGTCGAAATTACCAAAATTCAGTCCATTTGGACTAATATTACATTTTTGGCGTCCAATAAAACTGATATCGGAAAAAGATATATATGGGACTTATACCCCAATCTGATCCGATCTCGTTACAATTTGACCGAGGTATTTTTGCGCTAAATAAGTTATCTGGTCCCAAATATCATTCTTGTGGGGTTTATATTACGCATGTGAGCTACTGAAACACGAAATCGGATGAAATCGGGAGCTATAGCTATGTCTGAACCGATTTTCTTCAAATTTAATGTACATGCTACTAGACTGAATTCGGTGGGATGTACCAAAATTCAGGTTATATGGACTTATACTGGCCATTTGGTGCATAATTAACCCGGAGTCGCTTGAAGATATATGGGAGCAATATCTACCAGATCCGATTATCACCAATTTCAATAGGGTTCGTCCTTGGGCCAAAAAATATTGTTTGGAAATTTTCGTCTCAATCAGATAATAAATGCAACATGCATTTCGTTCACAAAAATACATGGACAGACGGACGGACAGACGGATTGGCAATAGGGTTCGTCCTTGGGCCAAACAAATGTTTTTTGGAAAATTTCATCTCAATCGGATAATAAATACGATCTGCATTTTGTTCACAAGAATACATGTACAGACGGACGGACAGACGGACTGACATGCATAAATCAACTCAGAAAGTGATTCTATGCAGAACATCAAAAGGAACTATGGGTCTATCTCGTTTCCTTTTGCCTGTTACAAACAAATGCACAAAGACATAATACCCTGACCACCTTGGGGTGTAGGGTATAAACACAGACAGAGCAAAACTACAACTCAATCAGGTAGGTAAAACAGTTCATCGGTAGAGCCATACTTACCTTTTCAACTATTATAGCACTGTATTATCACACTGTTGACTGTGGGCGCCATCTATATTTGAATATGTTGCGAACTATAACTCTCCATTCAGCTGAGCTACAAACCATTCAGTTTACAGCGAATTGCCATAACACACATCGCCCAGTTAAAAGAAATAGAAACAAAAAATTGCAAATTTTCATATAAAAGAAGAGAGATTCTGAAGGAAGAATGAGAAATGCACGATATATAAGATAAAATTTAAAACAAGTTAAATAGTGTCAGTCAGTTTTGCCGACAGATATATACCCCCAGGCTTGAGTTATGATTATTCGAAATGTTGACCCTTTATGGGGGAGATTCCGAACCTGACCTAAGACTGATATAAATATTACAACGTGCCAGATATGGACTATTTGAAATATGCATGAGATAACAGATATATGTATATAATCTTCACAACAGATCCTGCCTTAGCAAAAATATTTGGATGTCGGAAATTTGAAGATGCTTATTTCGCTTTCTTTTACAAAATCTTGAACCCTATATAGGGAGGTATATTACAAATTTTGACTCTTTTGTGGGGGAGGTACCAGAAGGAGTAGACCGATATATTCCAACTTCACAAAGTTGAACAAAATCTGATTATGCTTTCTCTTTCTGTGCAGTAAATTATTTTATTTGATAGTATTGACATTTTGTGGTTATCGGACCAGAAGAAATGGACTGATATTGCTCATCTCCGAACTCGATATATGTTTGAAAATAATATTGCGATGTTCAAAGTTTGGATGAAAGCGGATACTGATACGGATACGGACCGACATCGCCAGATCGATCCAAATGTTCTCAAACGGATTTGGTCCAAAGAGACCTAGGGTCTAAAACCGTTATTTCAATTATATTTTGGCCGTATTAAGTGATGTATACCCTCTGTAGCCATATGGCTGAGGGTATAATCATTAAAAATATTTCATTATACCCTAAGCCATACGGCTAGAGAACAAAAAAAAAAAAAAAACAGTAAAGAAAGTCTTAAAGTCGGGCGGGCCGACTTTATGATACCCTACACCACTTTGCTAATTTAGTAGAGCTCCACATAACAATTAAAAGTTTTTATTGGATAGTTCAATCATACACGCTATGATTATAATTTGACATACTAGCTTCTAGACTCAATTCGGTCGTAAATGCCAAATTCCATCCCATTTGGACAAATATTAGACGTTTGGTGCACAATAAAAGGTAAATCGGACGAAGTTATATATGGGAGGTAAATCCAAATCTGAACCGATTTCGAAAATTTAGCGAAGGTATTTCTGAGCTGCATTTGATATATTTCCCCAAATATTGTTGTTACAGAGTGCATATAACGGCTGCGGAGGATAAAAATAACAAATCGGATGAACAATATATATGGGAGCTATAGGTATATCTAAACCGATTTCGATCAAATTTGGCATACTTATTTTCAGGCTTAATTTGGTTGTATGTGCAAAATTTCATACAATTCAGACTGATATTACACGTTTGGTGCACAATAAAAGGCAAATCGGACGAACATATATATGGGAGCTATATCTAAATGACCGATTATCTCCAATTTCAATAGGGTTCGTCCTTGGGCCAAACAAATGATCTGTGCAAAATTTCATCTGGTTCGGGCAATAAATTCGACCTGTACTTTGTTTACAAAAATACATGGACATACGGACGGACGGACATGCATAAATCGACTCAGAATGTGATTCTATGCAGATCATCCAAAGGAACTTATGGGTCTATCTGGTTTCCTTTTGCCTGTTACAAACAAATGCACAAAGACATAATATCCTGACCACCTTGTGGTGTAGGGTATAATGATATATTTGATATGGTGCTGCAAGATCCGCAAACAAAAATTTACTTTACTTTACTCTGCATAAATCTGATACCGCAAGATGTTGGCTGCGATGATCCTATATAAAGCGTTGTGCTATTTATCGTCTCACTAATAATTTAATTCGTTTTAAATATCGAGATTCGCGTCAATTCAAGATGGCTTAAAATTCAATTTCAATGCAAAGACAATTTTTTTTAAAAAGGTGTAGAGTAAAATATTCTCGGTACCAAAATACTGTAAGTCTACCATAACTGGTTGTATTATTGCTATACGTTGTTGTTTTAATTTATCTATAGAAGAGAGTGGAAACAACACTAAGTATTTCTCTCTGTTCTCATATATAGTTCGATTTTTGAGAGATAATTAGCATTAGTATGATATTATACAAACTCAGCGCGTTAAAATCAAATTCACTTCTTTAAAACATTATTGTTTTTAAAATAGTATTCAGTCTAGTTCCGAAGTCAACGGTTGATAAAAAAACAAGTTTTATTGAGTTTTATAAACTGCATGCTTCTTTGTGTAGACGAATAAAAATAATTTGACAAGCGATGCTCTCATTGGACTCGTATTAAAAATGTTTTCCATAATTTAAAATATTAATTCGGTTAATTGTGAGATTTAGTAAATTCTATTAAATTCGCAAAGTGAATTGAATTTGTGGTTTAATGTGCCAGTATTTTATTAAGAGTTTGAATCAAATTTAAATATTGAAATATTTTTGCGTTCCTTGAAAATGTTTGTGATATTGAAATTGTTCGCCTGCAGTCTTTTTAAATTATAAATCCAGTGCTATTATTGTTATATAGGTAAATAAAAAGTGACGAAATGAGGGAACATAAAAAACATACAAATCAGAATACCGGTCAAAGACATAGAAGTATAAAGATTTTGTCACCAGGTGTGAATACCTCTGTTGTTATGGTATCGTAGCAACATATTTACCAATGTTAAGTAATTTAAACAGCTAAGGCAATATGCAATTAATTTGAAAGGTCAACGTAATCAAATTTAAAACTCAATTTTTGGATTATACAAACTTCAGACTTCTATTCAAATTTTTATTGGTCATAATAATTGAAAATAATTTGAATCTGTCTTGTCCTATCTTAAGGTTTTATCTATGCATTCAAATTTCGTAATATTCGATCGAGTTCGGAAATGGGTCACTTTGCAAATTGAGATTGAGATGAATTTTTTCAAATAACATTTGAATGGCTCAAGGACGAACCCTATTGAAATTGGTGAAAATCGGACCAGATTTAGATATAACTCCCATATATATCTACGACCGATTTCTGATTTATTGTGGCCCAAAGGGCTAATATCATGTTTCATCCGATTTGGTGTTTAAAACTCCAACTTTCGGAATATGCACTCTACCTTAATAATATTTTGTACCAGATATCTCATAGTGCTCAGAAATTATAATATAAACCTTTCTCTTACGAGAGCTCTAACTGGTTAAAAATGAAAAAAAAAAAAAAAAAAAAACCGGACCGAACTCTGAATTCACCCCACCATTTGGAACGAAATTGGAAATTTTCAAAAAAATAAAAATAAATCCGTTAAAACTTCTGTTAAAATCTTAAAAATACCGAGTATAGCCGATATATTGGAGTCTATAAGAAGAGGTCGACATGCATAAGCAACTTTTGTCATAAGCCACTATAATATTCAAATACGAGACTTAAAAACAAAAATTCGGTGAGTAATGTACCTAAAATCATCAAAATACCGAATTTAGTGAAATACCGTTATATCGGGGCTATAGGAAGACCTGACCCTGAATAGACAATTTTCTTTCACAGGCTGTAGTAACCATTAGGAACTTCAAATACGAAATTGCAAACAATTTCGGTGAATATTGTACATAAATCGTCAAAATACCTGCACTTGCATAGACAATCTTCTGTCACAGACTATAGTTCACATTATGAACTCTAAATACGAAATTTGAAGCAACTCCGGCGAATTATGGCGGGGGGGGTTACAGTTGTATGTGGGCTATATGATATCGTGGACCTATAAAGACATTTCTCTTGCAGGGGGTAAAGTGCTTAGAAAGAACTTCTAGTATGGATTAATAGACCATTCTATTGAAAAATTTAGCAAAAATCATCAAAATACTGAATATCGGAACGTGCCGTCATATGGGGGATATTTGATATCGTGGACCTATACAGACAATTCTCTTTCGGGGGGTAAAGTACTCACAAGGAACTCCTTGTGTGGAATTTCAGACAATTCCATTGAAAAATGTGGCTAAAATCATCAAAATACCGAATATCGGGGGGTACCGTTAAGTGGGGGGCTATACCATAACGTGGACCGATATAGCCCATCTTCGAACTTGACCTTCCGGCAGAAAAAAGATTGATCTGTGCAAAATTTTAGCTTCCCATCTTTATTCGGTTTGGCTCTAGTGTGATTACAACAGATGGGTAGACGGACGAACTGAAAGGGCAAAATCGTCTTAGAATTTTACGCTGATCAAGAATATATATACTTTGTTGGGTCTAAAATTATTATTTCAATGAGTTACAAACGGAATGACTAACTTAATATAGTCTCCATACTATGGTGGAGGATATAAAAAACTTGTACATAAAGTGTTGACAATGTCTCAAATTTGTAGAAAAAAGTGGTGACGTGGAGATTTAAAACCAGCCTTCCTACAGGAAAGTATGTAGTAATTCTTTATTGACATTTCCTAAAGGGTAAGTAATAATGTCGTCGCAGTTGGAGACTTTGACTATTTTATATGAACACCACATAACTATGTTATACATGTGAATAAAAAGAAAAACATTAGGGTCATGTTCTGCTGTGGAAGAACCCCAGATTGGCAGTAGTACAAAACTAAAAAAAATTGTATTAACCTATCAAAAAGGAAATTTTAATCTCGATTCAGGCTTTCAGCTCTACTAGTTTTAGGTTTTCACATTGATTGCAATGAATCAAATGTCAAACAGGTTCGTAAGTATCTTAATGTTTTCTAACAATAATAAGAAAAAAAAAACACGTTGTCTTTTGCCTTTATAGTTACGTTTATTTGGAAAGATGTATGTTTGTGATGAAAAGCAAAAAACACCAAACAAGAGACGTATCTTAAGTGCAAAGTAATCAAATGACAGTTGCAGATAAATTATGTATCAATTAAGACATAATATCGGCAACGAGTTTTGCCATTCAATCTACAGCTTGATTTTCCATTTATAACAATTGTGTTCGTCAAATGCTGGTCACGCAGCCGGGCCGCCCGGCAATACATGTCAGTCACGAGTGTGGGCCACTCGATCAGTTGAATAGATGATGTGCCGACAATAATAAAACCGATGACGCCATGGATACAGAAATAATAACAACAGAGCCAGGTAAACACTCACATAGCTATGCGCTTGCATGTAGGTCCTTGGTCGATGCATTATCGCAATTCTTTATTTTCCACCGGCTTAGTTCGCAATCAAAACAAAGTAGAAAAAGCGACCAAAGGCTATTCATTTCATCATCGGCATCATCATCTTAGCCTTTTGAACTTTTTAACGAAAGAGAAGAGAAAAGGATTTTCGGCATTTTTTTATTTTTTTATTTTAAATTGAATTTCATGCCGTTTCAAGCATCTCAACTCTCCAATGATTTGCATGATTTTTTTCCTGCAGACTCTTGAAGACAATTGTGCATATTCTTAATCGATAACCTTTAAGCGTTTCGGTTTTACCAGATAGATTGATGCACTGCCGTCGATGAGAGAAAAAAAGCCCAAAGCGTCAAGCAAGAAACTTTCAACAGCTTGTTATGCTCCAAATGCATACATTTGTGTAAGAGAATATATATATTGGTACCATACATCGGTCCATTTAGATAATATGTCTACGGTATGCTAGAATCTTTATTATAACGATACATATTACATATTTCAACGATTTTGCTATATGAAAATATGGCTTTTTCTTATGCAGATCGAAGACCTAGCCTCCTGCAGCAAGAAATCATGAACTTTCATTGTTAGAAGACCTGGTCTTCTATACATATAAGATTTAATATAATATAGATAGATAACTCGACCTTCCATGGATAGAATACCTGACCTTTAAATGTACAATATCTGGCCTATAAATATGCAAAAAAAAAAATATATATACATATATATATATATATATATATATATATATATATATATATATATATATATATATATATATATATATATATATATATATATATATATATATATATATATATATATATATATTTTTTTTTTTTTTTTTTTTAGTCAGATTTAGGATAAATTATTTGGATATTTAGATTGAGATTTCAAATTGGGTAGAGACCTTTGGGTTACAAAGAACTCAGGACATACATTTTAATAAAGTAAGAAAAATGAGATATTAAAAAATAAAATCTTTTTTATTTAATTGAAGAACTAAAACTAAAATTTTGCACATATCTGTCTTTTATTTGCATGCAGATCAAGTTCGAAATGGGCTGTATCGGTCCACAATATCTTACAGCCCCCATATAACGGTACCACGGTGATTTTAGCCACATTTTCAATGAAATTATCTGAAATTCTATACAAGGAGTTCTTTGTGAGCACTTTACCCTCTGAAAGAGAATTGTCTATATAGGTCCACGATATCGTATATCCCCAATATAATGGCACCTTTCGATATTCGGTATTTTGATGTTTTTAGCCATATTTTGCTGTGGAATTGTCTGAAAATCCACGCAAGGAGTTCCTTGTGAGTACTTAATCCCCTGGTAGAGAATTATCTTTATAGGTCCCCAATATTGTAAAGCCCCATGTAACGGTACCTACCGATATTCGGTATTTTGATGATTTTAGCAACATTATTCACCGAAATTGTTTCATATTTGGCATTTGAAGTTCGAAATAGATACTACAGCCTAAGGCAGAAAATTGTCTATGCAGGTCCACGTCTTCGTATAGCCCCCATATAACGGTACCTCCCAATATTCGGTATTTTTATGATTTTATCGTCATTATTCACCGGAATGGATTCAAATTACGTATTTGGAGTTCGTAATGGGAACAACAGTCTGTGACAGAAAATTGTCTATGCAGGTCCAGGTTTTCGTATAGGCCCACCTATCAGTACCTCCCTATATTTGGTATTTTGACGAGTTTAGGTACAGTACCCACCGAAATTGCTTGAGATGTCGTATTTGAAGTTCGTAATGGATGCTACAGCCTGTGACAGAGATTTGTCTATGCTGGTCCAGGTCTTCGCACAGCACCGATATAACGGTACCTCTCTATATATCTATATTTTGATGATTTTAGCTACATTATTCACCGTTTATTTCAAGTTTCGAATTTGAATATGGTAATGGCTTATGACAAACAATGCCTTTGTTGGTTAATGGCATTTTTAAAATTTTAACAGAATTTTTTAAGGATTTTATTTTTTGGCAATTTTCAAATTCGTTCCAAATGGTGGAGCGTATTCAAAGTTCGACCCGGTCGAACTTACTGCTTTTTAACTTGTTTTAAATTTAGTTTGTAATGGTTACTACCTCCTATGACTGAAAAATTGCCTATACTGGTCCACATCTTCGTATAGCTCATATATAACTGTACTTTCCGGTATTTTCGGTATTTTGACGATGTTTGCCAAAATTTTCATAAGATCTTTTTTTAAATTCGGAATTTAGATTCCTACGCCGCTCTTCTAAAATGTTGAACTTTAGGGGATCTTTTGTGGTCTTTGACTTTGGCTTGAACTATAGCTTAATATAAATTTTGTACGAACTTTTGAAAAATTTCTGGAAGATACTATAGAGAGTGTACCCATTTTGCCGATTTCCGAATTTGATCTAAGTTTGTATTGCAATGAATCAAGCTTGGCCCAAATCAAAAGTACTCGTAATCGTGCGTACCAACTAGATAGACGAATATCGCTGTATCGATTTAGTTCAAAGACACCTACGGTCTAAAGGGCAGGATCGAATGTAGGCATAGAGTTCATGAGGCTGAGGGTATAAAAATCTACTTAAGACCTTCTAATATGAATGAAACATATATAGGGGAGCTAAAGATATATCAGAACCAATATTCATATAAATATAAATATAACGCATATGGCGCACAATATAATTGAAGTCTAACAAAGTTATGTTTGGGAGCTACACCTAATTTCGGATCGATTATCAGCAATTTCAATAGGGTTCGCTCTTGAGTCAAACAAATAATTTATGGAAAACTTCATTCGAAAAATAAATTCGACTTGTACTTTGTTTATAAAAATGCATGGTCAAACGGTGACCAACAAAGGAACTATGAGACGTTTACTTCTGCAAGTTACAAACAAATGGCACAAAGAAGTAATACCTTGCATCACGGTGTGGCGTAGGGTACCACACGATCGACCGCTACCGACCACATCCCCTTTATTATTCTTTCCATTATGTTGTTGTTTCTTCAATGGCACTCTAACACAATGTAAACTAAATTTTAGTCCATTTTCCCATTTCTTATCCACCCGTCCTACATATAGGCATCGCCGTAGTATTCTTAATCAAAATAACAAATTGACTGACAACTCAAGAGTTTTGGATGTTCTTTGCCAGCGCGCCGGCAACGCTTAGAATTACATTTGGCAAAAGTGATGTGTTTAGATTCTCACGTTTTCTCTGACCACATAGCCCGAAACATAAACACAGATCCACTTAGAATAACCCACAAAATAAACGAAGCGTTGTTACTTAAGGCATATCATGCATTTTATGAATGGCATAGTTATTTTCTGTTGTTGTTTTTTTGAATCCTAAGATAAATTTAAGAAATATATATTTTGAGATATTATTTGTATTATCTATCGGGGCTAGTTATTATAGAGAGGTTCGTCCAAAATGTGTTTGACAATGTTAAGCAACATAATGCATAGTTTTATACCCTACATTAACTTGGTATGTTGTGCACTCTAGGCTGATTACAATATGGACGAAGTTTTGGGTTATTAATTACATATACAGGATGAGATGAAAAAACTGCAAAAACTTCAGACTGCTGACGTTTTTAAGCCACTCGTCCGACAGCTGTTAAAATTATTCCAGTGACAACTCATTATATTGCCTAAAAACGTACAAAAGCATTTTGGGAAGAATTTTCCAGACAAAAAAGTTATTCGTGTTGGAATTCAAGCGTGATTGTGTGATTTCTTTATATTTGTCTGGAAAACCACAAGGGGCTATCGTTAGAACACTCCAGCATTTAAATGTGAATACATCTTTTGTGTTTCGTACCATCGCTCGTTACCGTGATACTGGTAGCGTAGCCCAACGTCAAGAAAGTGGAAGAAAGAAAACAGCAACATCAGCAGAAATGGTTCGAAAAGTAAAGAAGCGACTTCATCGAAACCCGCGTCGCAGAGGCCGAAAATGGCTCGTGAGCTGAACATATCGCAATATTCCATTCGGCAAATATTGAAAAACGACCTCGAGGTAAAGCCATTGAGATTCCAAAAAGTAGAAGAACTTACACCGCAACAGAGAGAAAATATGAACTGAACTATGAAAAAATGAACTGCCGAATTTGGTTTTCTCCGACGAGAATACATTCGTTGCTCAGCAGTTTGTAAACAAACAAAATTATCGTGTTTACTTGCCAAAGAGGCTGCTGAAAATGTGCACCTTCGGGTGGCCACCAGAACTCAAGCGCCGGCCATGGTGATGGAGTGGTTCGCCATAAGAGCCGATGGTCGCTCTCCGCTCGTATTAATTGACCGCGGCATCAGAATAAATTCCGAATATTATCGCAAAAATATTCTGGAGGGTGTATTAAAGCCTTGGGCACGCAAACATTTTGGCCGCAGACCTTGGACATTCCAACAGGACTTAGCACCATCGCACTTTGAACGCCCCAGCGCTCAATGGTCACCAAAATCACCAATCCGTTGGGCTATTGTGTCTGGAGTATTTTGGAAAGCAAAGTTGGCTCCAAAAATACCAAAGTGTCGATCCCCTCAAGCAAGCTCTTCGCCGGGAATGGGCCAAAATACCGCAGAGCAACATTCGGGCAGTGTGTGACGGTTTCATTGGCCGTTTGAAGGCCATAATTCGTGCCGAAGGTGACCAATTCGAACAAATCTAAACTTATTCTAAAATTTGATGCTATTTTCATTTTTTTGCTTCCATTCAATGACATTAAAAAAAGTTATGGCGTTTGACTTTGTTACAGATTTTTTATCTCTCCCTGTATGTAGCTAATCATAGCTTTAGTATTCCATGGTATTATCTTAATTATTGCCAAGTTAACATCTTTTGAAAACTTTTATTTTAGTAGCTGATACTATGTTAAAAATCAGAAGGAATCAGTAATTATACCCTGCACCACAAGGTGATCAGGGTATTTTGTCTTTGTGCATTTGTTTGTAACAGGCAAAAGGAAACGAGATGGACCCATAGTTCCTTTGGATGATCTGCATGGAATCGCATTCTGAGTCGATTTATTCATTTCCGTCCGTCTGTCTGTCTTTCTGTCCATGTATTTTTGTAAACAAAGTACAGGCCACATTTATTGCCCGTTCCAGAAGTTTTCCACAAGTTTGATTTGTTTGACCCAAGGGCGAACCCTATTGAAATTGGAAATAATCGGTCAAAATTCAAATATAGCGCCATATATATATTCGTCCGAGTAGGCTTTTATTGTGTACCAAATGTTTAATATCAGCCTAAATAGTATGGAATTTTGGATATACTACCAAGTGAAGCCTGAAAAGAAGGATGCCAAATATGATCGAAATCGGTTCAGATATAGCTATAGCTCCCAAATATATATATTGTTCATCCGATTTCTTATTTTCGTCCTCCGCTGCCGTAATATGCACTCTGTAACAACGATATTTGGGGAAATATATCAAATACAGCTCAGGAATACCTTTGGCAAATTTTATCGAGATCGGTTCATTTTTGGGTATAGCTCTGAAGATATATTCGTCCGATTTGCCTTTTATTGTACACCAAACTTGTAATATTAGCCCAAATGGGATGGAATTTAACTCTTACGACGAATCTAGTATGCCAAATTTAGTGAAAATCGTTCAAGATATAGCTATAGCTACCATATATCGTATTTTAAGATGTTAGTACCCCACAACCTACGAAAAAAAATTACTTATGGAGTTCCACGTCTTCGTATAGCCACCGATATTCGGTATGATTTTAGAGACGTTATTCACCAAAATTGTTTTACATTTCGTATTTAAAGTTCGTAATGGATGCGTCAACCTATGACAGAAAATTGTCTATGCAGGTCCACGTCTGCGTATACCCCACATATACCCGTTTTTTCGGTATTTTGATGATATTAGCGACATTATTCAACGGAATTGTTTTTAATTTCGTATTTGAAGGTCCTAATGTGTACCTCAAAAATTGTGTATGCAGGTCTTCGTCTTCGTATAGCCCCCATATAACGGTTTTCATTTAAGCCGTATTTTTCGGCGAATTTTTTTTAAGTTTTTCTAGTTCCTTCCAAATGGTGGAGGATATTAAAAGTTCAGCCCGGCCGAATTTAGGTGCTTTTTTACTTGTTTAATTTTGTGCGATTATTTCATAAAGTCTAATTATCACAATGTTCACACCCCTCCAATATACAAACAATCAAATACAACGATTAGATAATCCATTTAATGTTATCGCACTGTTAGAAGTTTGTCATAAACACATTCAGGTGGCAGACCACCGGAAAGTTTCCACAACATTTGGCCTGTTCCAAAATGGACGCTATTGCATTAATTGCTATATTAGCGCTGAGCGCTTTAGCGTTTTATTTGCATGCATCGAAAAGGCATATGCGAAAGGCGGTTAGCAATTTGGGAGGTCCATACAATATCCCGTTGTTAGGTGCCCTGCAATTGGCCTATAGATTTGATCCCAAAAGTAAGTTAATTTGTTTTATTCTAGATTTTGTTGCGCAGCTAATGAAACAATTTTTCTTTAGACATTTTTCAAATACCAACCGAGCTGAAGAACAAATACGGTGATCTCTTCAAATTGTGGGCCCTCAATCGTTTGATAGTAATAAGTGGAGATGCCGAATTCAACGAACAAATCTTAACCAGCAGCGTACACATAACCAAACATCGTTTGTATGGAGTCCTACACGATTGGTTGGGTGTTGGCCTGCTCACCAGTGATGGCCAGAAATGGCAGTCGAGGAGAAAAATCATAACGCCAACTTTTCATTTTAAAATTTTAGAGGAGTTTCTTCAAATATTCAAACAGCAGTCGGAGATATTGGTCGAGTGTTTGGCAGCGAAAGCTGATGGTAAGACGACATTTGATGTATATCCCTTTGTATGTGGAGCAACTCTGGATATCATTGCTGAGACAGCCATGGGCACCAAGGTGAAGGCACAAACTGGCGGTACGAAGCAGTACATCAAAGCTGTTACAGAGTAAGTGTAATAAACAATGTAACTAACTAACTGACAACTAAAGAGATTTGGACTGAGCCGTCAAAGTTTAGAATTTAATTTTGTTAAAGGGAATTTGAATTTTTTTTAAAATATTGTTCTTCCGAAGCGCAAATACGGAGATATTCCGACAGGCTAAGTAAGAGTAATTTATATTTATACGAAAAGGAATAGTTTAATATTTTATTGTTGAATAGGCGCACAGATGTCTTGTCAGAAATAGTGTCTGTGTCAAAACTAGAACCCATATACACTTAATTAAATACCATTTTAATTTAAGATTTTCAAAAAAGTAGAAAATGGCCATAGGCTTTATTAAAATGTGGAATTTTTAGGAAAATTGAAAAAAAGATAAAAATACAAAAAAAAAAAAAAAAAACAAGTAAGAAAAGGCTATAATCGTGCGAGGCCGACTATGTTATACCCTACAACACTACCATATGTTAGAAGCCCCCTTATGTCCAAATCCATATTGGAAGATTTCGCTTTTGAAATTAGGATTTTGACAAGGGACATTTGCCCAACATTTATGCACTCTGTCCGCCTGTTAATTCTTCTTCCCTGTCCTCAACTCTCTTCACAGGCGTGTCGATTGGCTTCAATTGTGTGATCGGAAAAACATTTCTGTTTTTGGTTAATTTGAATCCCTAAATATTTTGCAATTATCTCCAAAAGCAAGAAGCCCCTCCGTACCTCCAAATTTGGACTCATCTATATGATTTGCTTGTCTACGATATTTGGCTATATTCGTCAAGGAAATCAGCATAAAAAAGCCAGAAGTTCGCCTTTTGTGTATTTCGGATATGGCCTGTAAGTAATGCTGGTAGTTTTTCACACAAAATTAGTGGTCCATTGTACCCGCTGTCCTAAACTCTAACTTTATGCGAGATTTCGTGTCCTTTGGTTTCTATTTGTGAACTTTATAACGGCTGTAAAATCAGGAACATTTTTAGTTGTTGGTCCATTTCAACCCCTAATATATTGCGGACATCTGTGAAAACAATAGGCCTAGCCCTTTTGAGCCCAACCCTACTCTTATGAAAATTTTTGTGAGGATCGGACGATATTTGCAATCTGTATATAATATATGTGTTGTAAAGTGAAAAAATATTACAAAATATTATAAGTCAAATTGAAAAAATCGCATGCGATAAAAAATATGAAAAAATAAAAAATGTCACAAAATACTACAAAATCTATATTAAAGTCAATATTGATACCTTTTTTTGCAATATTTTTAGATTTTAATCCTTTATGTCAAGAGGGCATTCTGAATTGACAAAATTTGTCAAAATCGGTCCGGCCATTCTTGAGATATAAACATTCCATCTAACATTCCTTTCCTTTGTATATACATATTGTATATATTTCGCTACATATATCCGATGTATTTACTATCGCCATCTACGTAATGATCAGAATTGACCTGTTCATCTATTTATGATTTCGCCGGCACTAAAAATATTCGCGGTTTAATGGAAATTTTACTTTTATTTAACACAAATATTTAGTCTATTTCACCCACTAAATATTACCCGGTGACCATCAAAATTGGAAGGCTTCTGCCCAGCCCTAAGCTCTAGCCCCATGCTAATTTCCGCGTCGATTGGTCTATAATGGCGACCTGTAGAGCCACTGCAAAATCATTAATTTTTTCAGTTTTTGGTCCATTTCAACCCCTAAATATTATGCGATCATCTCCCAAAGAAATAGGGTTCTATTCTGACCCTAGCTCCACCTCCATTCTAAATTTCGTGAAGATCGGGCCATAATTGCGACCTGTAGAGTGATTACAAATTAACATGGACAGACGGACGGACGGACATACATAGCTAGATCGACTCAGCTCGGCGAGATAGGAAGATCCATATATACTTTCCTATGTGGGAAACCATGTTACATAATTTTTGGCCCAATCAAACTTATAATACCCTCAACACATAGTATTGTAGGGTATAAAAACGAATTAACTATTTAAAACGAATACCAACATATTTTAATATTTCTTGAAGCGGATCATCATCCAATGCGAATGCCAATTTTTTAAGAGGTTCTGTTCTCTCATAATAAAAATGCAAATGGAGTCTTTATACCGTCGAATATCAGGAGGTACTAAACGTGAACCAATATCATTTTCAATACCAAAAATCTTCGAGAGTACCATAAACGCTTATGCCTTATATCATTCATTATACCCTACACCTCATAGTGGTAGGGTATTAGGTGTTTGTGCATTAGATTGTTACATGGAGAAGGAAGCGAGATAGACCCTTGAGTATCTTTAGAAGCGAGATACTTTTGAGTATCTTTAGATTTCGTTTTTTAGAATTCGTTTTTCAATATTTGCCGAATGGAATATTGCGATATGTTCAGCTCACGAGCCATTTTTCGGCCACTGCGATGCGGGTTTCGATCAAGTCGCTTCTTTACTTTTCGAACCATTTCTACTGATGTTATTGTTTTCTTACGTCCACTTCCTTGACGTCGGGCTACGCTCCACTATGTCGCGAGTTCATACAAACGGCGGCCAAAAATAGAAAGAGTTGTCGTAGGTGGATGAAATTTTGTACAGATGCTTATTATTGGGCTAAAAAGCAAATTACAAAAATTTGGATAGATTGGACCAAAATTCGGTATACCTCCCATATATAGGGTCTTCCAAATTTCACTCTTTTAGCCTATAAAATCGTTAATATTAAACCAAATTTGATGAAAATTGGCATGTAACTTCTAATTGGGCCTATAAAACAGTTGACAAAAAATTGGATTGATCGGACCATGATTTGGTATACCTCCCATACAATGGGTCTTGAAAAATTCTCTCTTTTGGGATATAAAAACGAATGTATTAACCCAAATTCGACGAAAATCTGCAGTTTACTTCTAATTTGGGCTATAAAACAAGTGACAAAAAATTGAATTGATCGGACTATGATTTGGTATACCTCCCATACAATGGGGCTTGAAAATTTCGATTTGTTGGCCTATGAAATCGTATGTATTCAACCATATTAAATGAATATTTGCAGTTTACTTCTTATTTAGTGAAATATTAAAATTGTCTGTAGGTTTACGTTTCAGAGTATTTTATATTACAAAACCCTCTTTTCAATAAAACACGTTTTATTCGTATTTAATTTTTATTAATAACATAAGCTTTGAAATACACTATTCACTACATACCTCACTGCAATCATCAGATTCATCTTCTGAACATATTTCCGGAATATTTAAGTTATTTTCTTCACAAATATATGATTTAATGTCTTCCATGTTATAATTTCGGGCCAATATATTATGACTGTTCAAGGATATTACAGGGTCCGATTGTAGTATCAAATACTGAATTAAATCCCTATTTGACTCGACTCTACCACATTTTCGGGTGTGTTTCAAACGGTTGCTCCTAATTATTTTATGGCATGACTCGATAGCCTCTTCCGAAAGCAGTCCAAGAGGGGATGTACTGTACCTTACATATCCAATGCCATGAACTAAAATTTTATGCACCGTGACTGGCATGTAATACCAAGAGTATAAGTCGATGTAAAGTTGCCATGTATCTTGAAGAAGCTTATGAAATAAATTTATATTTATAAATCTCCCACAAGACAAAATCCGCAAAATGAGGGAAAAATTGTAAATTAATCTTCTGTCGACCCCGGTAATATCTGCCGCTACTTCAATGTTTGAAAAAAAACGTCGAGCTGTATTTCCATCATTTGATGTCCCGTAGCCCGGTTTTATTTTGTCGACAAGAAGACCTAGATTTGTTTTTAATGCTCTTCGTATCCTGATTTTATTTTCATTCACTAATATTGTGTTTCTACTATCAATTCGCCATGTCTTGACAGGTAGTTTATATGCAATATGAACAATGCACTCAAAAAACTTAATCCAGGCGTGTAAACTAGATATACCGTTCCAATAACACTCTTCGTTGACTTCTCTTTGGTATATAGATTCATCATTCATTTGTGAAGGCTTGGCGCCACATAAAACACAGGTTGCACAACTTTTATTGCCATACAATACATTTAATACAGCTCCGTCAATCATTGTTAGTTTCATGCGATGAGAAATCATAATTTCATAACTGTTATCAATGTATACACAAGCATCCAAATCTGCTATTTCTTTCTCTATGTTTTCTTTGACTTCATTTATAGTCTGTGAATTTTCCTTTGTAAAAAGTATTTTAATAGGTCTACATAGCCTTGAAGATGAGTGCCTGTCGTTCTGCCACAAGACATTTTCGTTTGTATCATCTAAAATACGCAAGGGCACAAATGAAGAAACGAACATAAATTCATCTGTTGCGTCTTCGTTTCGAAATTTTTGTTTATAGAGGCTATGACCACTGCTGCCATCAAATCCCCATTTACATTCTAAAGTTATATTATTTTTCGGACAAATTTGTAGTTTAGTTAGAATGCTCTTCGCGGTATTATCCAAAAGTGTTTGTAGAGGTACATTCATTGATGTTTCCGTCACTTCTATATTTTCTGGAATCAATTTTTTCTTAGCTTCTGCTATAGCATAATACGATGGGAAACAATTTTTATGTATAGCATTTACAGCATTTCTCATCATGTTATACTGTCTAACTGATAAATCCATATCCACGTAGAGCGCCAATGCTTTTTCCACTGAAATAATGTCCGTTTCCTTTACATTCGAAAATCTTTTTGCAGCTGTTGTTATGATGTCCGCCGAAGTAGATGCAACAAGTTCACCTACACGTCGCCTTTTTGTTCTACATGAACTTTCCTCAAAGTTAATGCGTGGTCGACCTCTTGATGTAGACTTATCAGGTTCCTAAATATTTAAAAGTTTTTAAATAATTGGTTTAATAAAAAATAATCTTCAAATGTACCGAATCAAATTTAAACGTATCCATAAGAAACCAATCTTTTAAGACCATTTCTACTTTATCCCTCTTTCGATAGTATTTTTTCCACGTAGAAGACAATTTGTAGCAAATATTTTTAACCTTTATGTGTTCTTCGCCCGTCATTTTCCTTCCAATTCGATCCTCAATAAATTCTTTAAGTTTTGCCAGAACATATGACATACTTTGATCCTTTACTTCTAACCATTCCAAAAATATGTCACAGTTTTTTAAAGAGGTGGTCACTAAAAAAAGCAAATAACTCTTAGGACCGCAGGTTTCCGCAGCTAATTTTTTTATAGGTTAAAAATACATACTTTTCACAACTAAAATCAACAAAAATGTAGACTAAACTTTTTTAACCTTTTTTTTTCTACTCCACTAATTTCAAGATTTGCTTTACAAAATAGATGAACTAAGTACAACAGGTGTTTGTAACTGTAAACACCATATGATCACTATTTACACCCAAACAAAGGTGAAGCCAAGTTTTTGACATCCCAAGTAACTAAAATAAACACTTTTTTTATAACCGTTACTTTTAATATTCAAATTTTTGAACATATGAAAAAAGTGTCAATTTTCCGAAAAAAATAGAAAAATGCCGATTGCCAAAAACTATCAGATTTGAACCCTCGTACAGGCAAAACTACTTGACGTATCACTACCAAAATTCATATTATTCCTAACTGGAATGTTTTCTATCAATTCTCATCAATAAATTTGTGCTCTTATGTACTTGGTTTTTACCATTTTTGGCCGCGGTCGTGACACTGTGCGCTCCCAGTATCACGGTAACGAGCGATGGTACGAGACACAAAAGATTTATTCACATTTAAATGCTGGAGTGCTCTAACGATAGCCACTTGTGGTTTTCCAGCCAAATATAAAGAAATCACACTATCACGCTTGAATTCCATCACGAATAACTTTTTTTCTGGAAAATTCTCACCAGAATGCTTTTGTACGCTTGTAAACAATATAATGAGCTAACACTGGAATAATTTTAACAGCTATCAGACGAGTGGCTTATAAATGACAGCAGTCTGAAGTTTTTTCATCTCACCCGGAATATTATTACAGTTTGGTACTTGTGTACACTTTTGGTTCTAAGATATTATTAAATGTAACAAACAAATTATTCTTATAGTTCTTTTTTCAGAATGACGAAAATGTTAGGATGGCGATTTTTAAGGGTACACCTACAAAGTGAAGTGGTTTTCTCAATTTTACATCCATTTAAGAAGTTGCAATCAATGAAGAATCTACGAATAATGCATGAGTTTACACGGAATGTGATTAAAGAAAGGCGGAAAGCTTTGGAAGTAACATTGGGATCTCAAAACCCTTCTGCAGGAACAACCAGTGAAACAGAACAGATTCTCGGTACAAAGAAACGAATGGCATTGCTGGATGTGCTGTTGCAGGCCACGGTGGATGGTGAACCCCTAACAGATGAAGATATTCGCGAAGAGGTGGATACATTCATGTTTGAGGGACATGATACCACCGCAACGGCACTTAGCTGCACTTTGCATTTACTGGCCAGACATCCTCGTGTTCAGAATAAACTGCTAAAAGAAATTCAAGAAGTTCTTGGCGATGACTTGGAGTCAATTAATTTGATGAATTTAAATGATCTGAAATATATGGAATGTGTTATTAAGGAGTCTTTGCGTCTATATTCTCCAATCCCCATTATTGCACGAGAAATTAAGGAAGATTTTAAATACAGTGAGTTTCGGAAGAGTTTATATATATTTTATATGAAATACTTATAATTATTTACTTGATTCTTTACAGAACATTCTACCATAGGGGAAGGAGTCTTACCGGCTGGCTCAGAACTGGTCATGGGTTTCTATGTTATGGCCAGCGAGAGTAAATGTTTTGAGAATGCCAACGAATTTCTACCCGAGCGACATCAACAACCTGCAAAGATGCATAACTTCCAATTCACCCCCTTTAGTGCTGGTCCACGAAATTGTATTGGCCAAAAATTTGCCATGTATGAAATGAAGGTTGTCTTAACGAACATTATTCGGACATATGAACTGCTGCCGTATGGGGAGAAAATTGATCCCCTCTTGGGAATTGTGTTACGTTCCAGTACCGGCATGCAATTGGGTATGAAGCGAAGGGCGACGTAATTGGTTACAAAACGTTTTTGTTGTCAACTATCAGCACTAAAAGCAACAACCTACATAGTACAATATTTCCTTATCACCTTCAAACAGATTTGGGCGATAATCTATTGTTTATTTTTATTCGTTTTTGGAAATCATTGATTAAAAACTAATTTGAAGTGTCATAAACGAAAGAATTCAAATTTGTTTAGTACCTTAACAAAAAAATTGTTTCATTTTAATGGAGAACAAAATAAGGGTCATTATAAAATGTTGTAATAGTTTAGGTCGGAATGAAGTCAGGAAAGCCAGTCGATTTAAATTGTCAATACTATTATATATACTACAAATTAATCTTCATAAAGAAGATGAACCCGAACCTAACTTTTAATAACCTTCACCATTAGGTAAACAATTTAAATTAAGATATCTAAATTCAGACGTGTTTAAACTGTAAATACGAATGAGACCGGTTCAAATTTAATTCAGTTAAATTTTTCAAAATACTAAAGCCGGGACCTATATTGCCAATTTTCTACTACAATGATTGTTATCTTGTTTGGGTCTTAAATACATAATTTGAAACAATTCCGTGTGAAATATATAGAAAATGTGACCTAAATCTAAAAAAAAAAAAACGATTATATGGAGAGATTTAGGAAAATGTGGACAAACTCTAAGTGCCAAATTCAATTAAAAACCAGGAGGAAAAGGCAAAAGTCTTGCCAAATTCAATTAAAAACAAGTAAGGAAAAGTCAAAAGTTGGACGGGCCGACTATATGATACCCTTGTACATATTTAGTAGAGCTCTCGTCACGAAAGTATTTATTTCAAGGAGATCATACCACCTACCAACACTTGGGTTTAGAGCAGTTATAGTTTGGTTTCAGAGGGAACAAACAACTAACTAACATATTCACTTCGAGAAGGATTATATTAAAAAAAAATATATAGGAGCCTAGTTGGAGTGATATTACCCATTATTTGCACATTGAACCTGAAATCGTTATAACGGAGCTAGATCCAAATCTTAGACGATCTCGATAAAATTTGGCAAAGGTTTTTCCGAGCTCTATAAGATATATGGTACCAAATATCATTGTTGTCGAATGCCTATTATGAAAGTAGGGGACATAAACATGAAATCGGATGAAAGCTATAGCTTTATCCGAACCGATTTTCATTAAATTTAATGTACTTGCTTCTACACTGAATTCGGACGGATGTGCCAAAATTCAGGTCATTTAGGCTGATATTGCCCATTTGGGGCACAATTAACCCGAAATCTTCAATAATAAAGCGTGGACCTATACAAATAATGTTTTGCAGCAATATTTAGAACCTGCACACATTTTTAATATCAAGATTAAAAGAAATATGTAAAATCTGCGTTTTTACTATCCGCCATGTGAAAACTTGACTTTTGGCTATGGCCCCTTTACTTTTGAAGTAAATTTATTGAAAAAATGGGGCCAAAACCTTCGAAGGCCGAAAATCAAAATTAACCGTTATACCAAAAAGTGGCCTTACATTGGACAGTTTTTTTGAGAAGTTAAACTACCCACTGAACACTGAAAGAAATTTCAAAGTATAGCTGATTTGGATTGAAATACTATCGTGGAAAACATAAAAATAATTTTTAATTTTAATACTTCGCAATTGATCTAAATCCAGAATTAAATTGAAAGGTGGACAAGGTAAACCATTGTAACATGATTTGTACCATTCATAACATTTGTAAACTTAAATCATTCATTTTCTAAATGTCCGCCATATTACTCCGAAATTTAAAATTTTTGCTCTTTTCACTCACTCAGAAATAATGATGTAAATTAGAACATTTCTTAACCTTCACGTACGAATTTTGGGAATATTCCGCCTTATCTCAGTCCTAATACAAAATTTCAGAGTGTCTTTCTCAGATGCAATTCGAAACATTTTATTTGAAATTCGAGAATTGTTTGTAATATGTAATATTTCAATTGTAATTCGAGATCTCCGCTTGTTATTTGAAACGTTTTAATTGCAATTCGAGAATTTCACTTGTTATTGGTTATTTGTAATTAAATTTTTTCCATTTTTAATTCGAATTATTTCATTTGAAATTCGAATTATTCCATTTTAAATTCGAATTATTCCATTTGAAATTCGAAATAGATTAAAAAATTTTTTCGAATTGGCTTCATATTTGCTTTGTTAAATAACAAATAAAATGATTCGAATTACAAATAGAAAAGTTGGAATTACAATGAAATATTTCGCATTTCAAATGGAATTTTACGAATTTCTTTTATGACCTAAAACCACTACAAGGCTAAGTTTAAGTTTTATTTCCAAAACCCCCCTTATGTCATGTCCAGAATTTTATTGCCAAAACCATATTTTAGTACAATTTTGTATTTAATTTATTTTAAAAGAAATCAATCACATACGAAAAATCGAAAGGATTTTACAGTTATAATGTCGAACAGGTAAAAAAGCAGCTAAGTTTGGCCGGACCGAACTTTTAATACCCTCCGAAAACTACCACTTAAATGAAAACGGTTATATGGGGACTATACGAAGACGTGGACTTGCTTACAACATTTTTTGTCACAGGCTGTAGTACCGATTACGAACTTTAAATTCGAAATTTAAAATAATAATGGTAAATAATGTCACACAAATCTTAAAAATACCGAGTATCGGGAGGTACCGTCATATGGGGGCTATACGGAGACGTGAACCTGCATACAAAAATTTATGTAGCACCCATTACGAACTTCAAACACGAAATTTTAAATAATTCCGGCAAATAATGTCGATAAAATCATGAAAATACCGAATATCAGAAGCTACCGTTATATGGGGGCTATACGAAGACGTGGACTTACATGGTCCATTTACGAACTTAACCTGCCTAATGGTAAACTATGCATGTATGCAAAGGTTTAGCCTTCTATCTCATTTCGTTCGAAAGATAGCGTGATTACAACAGACCGACATCGTAAGATTATCTTAGAATTTTACGCTGATCCAGACCTCGAGTTTCTCACAAGATGAAAAAGGCATTCGAATATGGGATTTTTAAATATCTATCAACATGGAAAACAATGTTATATTATAATTTTTAATGTTCACGTCAAGTATCTCTGCAGGGTAACACATAATCGACCCCGTCCAACTATAGCCCTTCTTATCTATTTTTAAATAAATTCAAATTTAAAGTGTGCAGCAAAATTTAAATAGCGACAACCACACGCAATTTGTGACGATTAGATAGATTATCGCATAATATGCCTTAGCTGCATAATGATAAGATTCGATTTCTTCTGTTCTTGGGTCACAAAAAACAAACAATTGTCAAATTTAATCATTCCTCAAGTAATTGCCTTAGAATGAGCACAGTTTTATTAGTCGTAGCTCTGACACTATTTGTATTGGCCTTTTTAAGCCATGTAACGACAAAACGAAAACGTAAAGCTGTTAAAAACATAGTTGGACCCCACAATTTGCCGATTGTGGGGGCAGTACATTTCGCCTATCAACTGAATCCCGAAAGTAAGAAGCAGAAGAAAGTGTTGCCTCTATTTGTTGGTATTCTCTTCACTAATACCTTACCCTTTTCGTATTTAAAGATTTCCTTCAACGGGCTCGTGAAAATTCTCTGAAATATGGGCCCATTCACAAAGTGTGGGCATTTAATCGTTTGATTATTGCCTCTGCCGATGCCGAACTAAATGAACAGATTCTGACCAGTACCACGCACATAACCAAACATCGTCTGTATGGAGTTCTCTATGATTGGCTGGGCAATGGCCTGTTGACCAGCGATGGTCGTAAATGGCACTCACGACGTCGAATTATTACACCGGCATTTCATTTCAAAATTCTTGAGGAATTCTTGGAGGTATTCGATCAGCAGTCTAAAGTTTTGGTGAACTGTTTGTCGCCAATGGCCGACGGCCGAACCACATTCGATGTTTATCCTTTTGTATGTGCTGAAACATTGGATATCATTGCGGAAACGGCCATGGGTACTAAGGTAATGGCTCAGACTGGTGGTACGAAGGAGTATACGAAAGCTGTTGAGGAGTAAGTAAATTATTTCCGATTGTATTGAGGTATTTGAAATTTTTAAAAAAGGAAATAATAATTAATGCTTCAAATAGGAGTCGATTCTGTTGAAAATGTTGTTTAGAGTTGTTAAAAATAATATCAATCAGAATGAACACTTTAAGGCTAGCTGGTTAAGCAGTCAATACAAATGTATGCATATGTATTTACAAAACATACATCTGAACTTTACATCTTTATATCCTGCGCCCTACTGTACATGTTGTGTTCGTTGGAATTATAATTTTCGATAGTCGAAAAAAGAAAATTGTTGCTGAATCGCGCTAAGTGTGTGCCGGAATTTTTTCGAAATTCGAGTAAATGGCAGAAATCTCCAAAAATAAATAAAAAAGCTCTCCACAACTATGTTCATCAAAGTAAAACTAGTAAGAAAGTCTTAAAGTCGGACGGCGCCGATTTTATGATACCCCACAGCTCTTTGCTAATTTAGTAGAGCTCCACATAACAATTAAAAGTTTTTATGGGAGAATTCAATCATACACGTTATGATTATAATTTAAAGTTCAAAGGTCTAAATATGCCGAAGCATTTGTATCTTTTAAATTTTGACTTGTATTGCCCATTTGGTGCACAATTAATTTAAAATCGGATAAAGATATATAAGGGAACTATATCCAAATCTGAACCGATCTCGATAAAATATGGCAAATATTTTTCTGAGCTGTATTTCATATATTTCCCTGAATATCGTTGTTACGGAGTCCATATTACGGCTGTGGGTAACAAATATAACAAATCGGATGAACAATATATATGGGAGCTATGGCTATATCTGAACCGATCTTCACCAAATTTAACATACTAGCTTCTATACTCAATTCGGTCATAAGTGACAAATTCCATCCTCTTTGGACAAATATTAGACGTTTGGTGCACAATGAAAGGTAAATCGGACGAAGTTATATATGGGAGCTATATCCAAATCTGAACCGATCTCGATAAAATTTAGCAAAGGTATTTCTCAGCTGTATTTGATATATTTCCCCAAATATTGTTGTTACAGAGTGCATATTACGGCTGCGGAGGACAAAAATAACAAATTGGATGAAAAATATATATGGGAGCTATAGCTATATCTGAACTGATTTCGAATACTTATTTGCAGACCTAATTTGGTTGTATGTGCCAAATTCCATACTATTCCGGCTGATATTTCACGTTTGGTGCACAATAAAAGGCAAATCGGACGAAGATATATACATATAAGGAGCTATATCTAAATTTTTACCGATTATCTCGAATTTCAATAGGGTTCGTCCTTGGGCCAAACAAATGATTTGTGCAAAATTTCATTTGGATCGGGCAATAAATGCGAATTGTACTTTGTTTACAAAAATACATGGATAGACGGACGGCATGCATAAATCGACTCAGAATGTGATTCTATGCAGATCATAAAAAGGAACTATGGGTCTATCTTGTTCCCTTTTGCCTGTTACAAACAAATGCACAAAGACATAATACCCTGACCACCTTGTGGTGTAGGAAACAATAACAAGTTAAAAAGTATCAGTCTTTGCTTTGCCGACAGATGTATACCCTCAGCCAATGTTTGATTATTTAAATTTATGTTGTCTTCTGTTATGGTTATTCAAATTGTTGGCCTTCTATGGAGAAGAAATGGATAAATTCCGATAAATGACATATTCATATCAGATTTCTGGTTAAGATAAATATTTAGATATCTCCACCATCTTTATAACATATCTTGTGTTGATGAAAATATTGAGATGTACCTAGTCTGAATGCAATCGATAATAATTTCGCGTTTTATGAGCTTATTCAAAATTGAAGCATGTTCAAAATTTTGACCCTTTTTGGGGTCCCATCTTCATAGCAGATTCCTTCTTCTAATGGGATATGTGAAATATTAAGGGAACCGGGTGCTTATTTCGGATTTTATAATCGTTTTGGTTATTCAACATTTTGACTCTTTGTGGGGGAGGTACCAGAAGAAATGTTCCGATCTCTACCATCTTTTTAACAGATCTTGTGTTGATGGAAATATTGAGATGTGTTGAGATGTGGAATCGGATGTTTATTTAGCGTTTTATGAGGTTCATAGATATTCAAAATGTTGCCCTTTGTGGGGGATGTACCCTCTCCAGCCATATGGCTGGGGGTATAATAACCCAAATAGCAAAACCCATTTTATTACCAAATTTGGTTGGAAATTGTGGCAGAAACCTTCAAAATACCGAAAATCGGGAGGTACCGTTATATGGGGGCTATACCTAATCAAAGACTCATATAGCCCATTTTCAATACCAATCAGCCTGCATATAATATAAACCTTTTGTGCCAAATTTGAAAGCTCTAGATTAAATAGTGTGGACTCTATCGTAAAAAGACAGATGGCCATATAATAAATTTCTTAAGCTAATTTTCATTTCGGGTTTCATTTTGTTATAGGTCTAGCATATACATTTCTTCTAATTTCGCAGTTGTAGTTCAGAAAGCAAATGTTCGTTATGCTGTAGGGTTCCGCTTTGTTATTTCCTTAATGGCACTGATTACATTTTTCGACTTGTTTATGCTACTTGCAATTAGCTTCTGTTCAACGATTTCCAAAAAAAGTATGTCAATCAGCTGTTTTATTATAGAATTTAAAATGTGATAAGAACCATACATTCTTATCACATACGAAACTGTGGGTAATGTTGATATTAGGTGTGTACAATAACCCACTAATTTGTACTGATAATTACAAAATGTTGTTTGATAACCCAAAAGTCCAGTTAGTGAGCGGGAGAGGAAAGGGTAATTTTCATAATAGATTCATTAAGATTTTGAAAATTCCTACTTTAAAAAAATTGTCAGAAAGAATTATCCAGTACCATCAGCTGATTGAGAATCAGCTGTTTTTACATTTTTTTAAAATTATATTGAATGAAAGCAAAATGTTTCGGAAATTGCATCAAATTTCAGAATAAGTTTAGATTTGTTCGAATTGGTCACCTTTGGCACGAATTATGGTCTTCAAAATGCCAATGAAACAATCACCCGCTCCCGGAATGTTGGTCTGCGATATTTTGGCCCATTATCGGCAAAGCGCTTGCTTGAGGTGATCGACACTTTTGTATTTTTTAGTGCCAACCTTACTTTCCAATATACTCCAGACACAATAGTCCAACGGATTGGTATCCGAGATTTTAGTGGCCATTGTGCGCTGGAAATGAAGCGAGGAACCTCATTTTGTAACCATTCTTGGGTGGCGCGTGCTGAGTGCGATGGTGTTGAGTCCTGTTGGAATGTCCAAGGTCTGCGGCCAAACTATATGCGTGCCCAAAGCTTTAATACACCCTCCAGAATATTTTCGCTATAATATTCGGCATTTATTCTGATGCCACGGTCGAATAATACGAGCGGAGAACGACCGTCGGCTGTCATGGCGGCCAACACCATCACCATGGCCATCGCTTGAGTTCTGTTGGCCAACCGAAGGTGCACATTTTCAGCTGACTTCTTTGGCAAGTAAACACGATCATTTTGTTTGTTTACAACTGCTGGACAACGAATGTTTTCTCCTCGGAGAAAACCAAATTCGCCAGTTCACCACTTTCGGCCAAGCAAAGCAACTCTTTAGCTCTTTTGCGTCTATTTTCATTCTATTGCGGTGTAAGTTCTTGCACTTTTTGGAATTTCAATGACTTTACCCCGAGCTCATTTTTCAATATTTGCCGAATGAAATATTGCGATACGTTCAGCTCAAGAGCCATTTTTCGGCCACTGCGTCGCGGGTTTCGATCAAGTACTTTTTGAACCATTTCTGCTGATCTTGCTTCTTTGTTCCGTCCACTTCCTTGACGTCGAGCTAAGCTACCAGTATCACGGCAACGAGCGATGGTACGAGACGCAAAAGATTTATTCACATTGAAATGCTGGAGTGCTCTAAGGATAGCCACTGGTGGTTTTCCAGACAAATATAAAGAAATCACACTATCACGCTTGAATTCCATCACGAATAACTTTTTTCTGCAAAATTCTCACCAAAATGCTTTTGTACGCTTTTGCTTGCAAAGTATAATGAGCTGTCACTGGAATCACAACAGTCTGAAGTTGGTTGCAATTTTTTCATCCTGTATATACCATACCCTAGAAAATTATGTGTTGCGTGTATTATAAATTTGATTTATCCAAACAATATTTAACACCTCGGAATATTGGTCTTGCACATAGAATGTAACACATGGATTTTCCTATCTCGCTGAGCCGAGTCGATCAAGCTATGTATGTCCGTCTCTTCATGTTAATTTGTATTCACGCCACAAGTCGGAATTATGGCCCGATCCTCACAAAATTTAGCATGGAGGTGGGGTTAGAGACTGAATAAAGGCGATTACAAAATATTTCGAATATTCGATATTTTTACGAGTTTAGCCACATCTTCTACAGAATTTAAAAAAAGAAATATGTATAAATTGAAGCTTGAGTCAAAATTTATAATTTTGATTAGTTACAAAATGTGAAAGGATAAAAAGTCAAATGGATCGTTGGGGGCATTTTCCATAATTTATTTCGTTATAATCAGGATTCGGGGATTTTGGTATACAAATTTTACATCTTCTTCTTAATAATCAGATTGTCTTTTGAGTCCTACATTTGAGCCGCATTTTAGCCCAAATATGAAATAAATTAGGATGTAAAATACTCAACGAAATTTTACTTCTGCTCAACAATAAAACGTCCACTTCACCTGTAAATGCAAACTTGAATATGAACTTTTTCTTTATTTTGTCTTTGCAGAATGACACGAATGATGGCATGGCGCTTTCTACGATTACACATACACTCCGACTTTATCTTCTCCATTCTTCATCCATTCAAAAAGATGCAGATGATGAGGAATTTACGCATAATGCATGAGTTCACAGATAAGGTAATCAATGAACGACGCAGCACACTGAAAGCTTCCTTGGCGAAAGCAAGCCAGGAGACGGCCGATGATCAGGAGCACTTTGATGTTGGCCAGAAGAAGCGAATGGCGCTGCTGGATGTCCTGCTGCAGTCGACAATTGAGGGTGAACCCCTGTCCAATGAGGATATACGCGAAGAAGTCGATACATTTATGTTTGAGGGGCATGATACCACAGCTACAGCCCTGAGTTTTACCCTGCATATATTGGCCCGCCATCCAGAGGTCCAGGAAAAACTCTTGGCCGAAATTCATAACGTCTATGGAAAGGAGGATCCCAAACCATTTTCTCTGATGAATTTGAATGAATTGAAATATATGGAATGCGTAATTAAGGAAGCACTGCGCATGTTTCCGCCTGTTCCCATAATTGGTCGGGAAATTAAGGAAGATTTAAAATATAGTAAGTATATTCAAATTTGATTTTCGTTTACAGTATATTAAACCAATTCAAATCTCTTCCCTAGAACACTCGCAACTGGGCGAAGGAATAATTCCGGCTGGTTCGGAACTCATTATTGGCATTTACAAAATGTCACACGATTTATTTACATTTGAAGATCCCTCAGAATTCATACCCGAACGTCACGAAAAACCTCTGAGCAAAAGCTTTGAGTATCTGCCATTTAGTGCGGGGCCACGAAATTGTATTGGCCAAAAATTTGCCATGTACGAAATGAAAGTTACCCTGACCAATGTAATTCGGGAATATGAGTTACTGCCGCTGGGTGAGGATACCAAAGCGATACTGGGTATTGTCTTACGTTCAAAAACGGGCATGCAATTGGGTCTGAGGAAGAGAGTGAAGTAGACGACACCCTATATTGTTGACTGATATTTGTGATATTAATACATGTGATAATGTTTAGAAAATTAAAATAAAATTTGAATAATTAATGTAAGTTTTGATTCCAGTTCTGTGAGGCAAAATACATTCTTTATATAAGCCACATAGTTCGTTGGAGAGAGGGGTAAGTGAAATGGAAGTGGAAAATGGTTTAATTGTGCACCAAATGGCCAATATAAGTCCAAATGACCCGAATTATACAAAATATACATGAAAATTGGGGAAAATCGATTTAGATATAGCTATAGCTCCCATATATAGGTTTCATCCGATTTGGTATATAAGCCCTCACATGCGTAATAAGCACTTCACAACATTTTTATTTGGTACCAGATATCAGATACAGCCCAAAAACACCTCTGTGAAACTAAATGGGATATAGCTCCCATATATATCTTTATCAGGTTTGTTGTGCACTAATATCAGCCCAAATGGACTGAAGTTTGGCAATTAAAATTTAATTCATCCTAGAAACCAGTACTTCAAATTTGGTGTAAACCGGTTCAGATATAGCTATAGCTCCCATATATATATATATGTTTTATCCGATTTGGGGTTTACAGTCCCCCACAAGCGTAATATGCATTCCACAACAATGATCTTTGGTACCAGATATCACATACAACTCTGATATAGGTGTATTAAAGTTTATCAAGATCGGTTTAGATTTGGACATAGGTCCCATATATATCTTCAACCGATTTCGGGTGAATTGTGCACCAATATCTGTCCAAATGACCTGAATTTTGCACCATTGACCGAATTAAGTCTTGAAGCAAGTGCATCAAATTTTGAGAGAATCGGTTCAGATATAGCTACAGTTCCCATATGTATGTTTCATCCGATTTGGGGGGCTTAAGTCCCCCACATGCGTAATATGCACTCCACAAGCATGGTAGTCGGTACCGAACATTAGATACTGCTTGGAAATACGTCTGCCAAATTGTATGGAGATCCGTTCAGATTAGGATATTGCTCCCATATATATCTTTATCAGGTTTATTGTGCACTAAATGGCTAATATCAGCCAAAATGGACTGAATTTTGGCAATTAAAACTGAATTCTTCCTAGAAACCAGTACTTCAAATTTGGTGTAAATCGGTTCAGATATTGCTATAGCTTCTATATATATATATATATATGTTTTATCCGATTTGGGGTTTAAAGTCCCTCACAAGCGCAATATGTATTCCACAACAATGATCTTTGGTACCAGATGTCAGATACAACTCTGATATAGGTGTATTAAATTTTATCAAGATCGGTTTAGATTTGATTATAGCTCCCATATATATCTTCAACCGATTTCGGGTTAATTGTGTATCAAATGGCCAATATCAGTCCAAAAGTACTGAATTTTGGTATATCCGACCGAAGACAGCATAGAAGCAAGTACATCCAATTTGGTGAAAATCGGTTCAGATATACCTATGGCTCCCATATATATGTTTCATCCGAATTGGTGTTTAAGTCCCTAACATTCGTTATATGCATTCGCCAACTTTTGTACCAGATATCTTATAGAGCTCAGAAATACGTTTGCCAAATTTTATCGAGAACGTCTAAGTTTTGGATATAGCTCCCATATATATACTTAATTCGATTTCAGGTTTGCAAATAATGGTTAAGATCAGACCAAATGGAGTGAACGTTTCCATATTGTGAACTCGGCTCCGATATGTATTTTTTAATATAATCCTTCTCATGCACTCTATAGCAATGTTATTTGGAATGAAATATTAAAATGTCTCCGTCAAATTTAGTGAAAATCGATTCAGAATCCGTTTAAAAGATAGAGTTTTTAAAACATCGGTTGTGAACTTTACGCTGTATTATTTTCAGAAGTTACAAACGGGATGACAAATTTATTGTACACTTCTTTCTGTGTACAAATATATTTAATTTGCCAAAATGGCTTTGGCTTTTCTTATCGTCCATTGAGCAATTGAATAATCTCAACCAACAGGGGGCCTTAGACCATTTTGTTATCAATGCACCTAATTCAAATAAAGAAATAAACAAAAATCAAAAGTGTTTTTGATACTTTCTACTTCACTTATATTTAGCGATTCAATATGGAAAGGCACATAACAAAACGTACACGCGACTTGATCTAAATTATTTTACCCTTCACCATTAGATGGAGAGTATATTGAATTTGTCATTCCGTTTGTAACACCCGGAACTAATCGTCGTAGACCTCATTAAGTGCATATATTCATGATCAGATAAAATAATGAAATTTGACATAGATGTTTGTAGTAATCTTAAGAAGTTTGATATTTGAAGTGGGCTACATTGCTACACAAGCTTTTCGCCCCAATTTCCAACCAAATCAGTTGTAACTAAAATTTTCGAAAACTTCTCAATAATAATATTATAGGACCAATTTTGGGTACAGCCCCATATAAAAATATTTCCTAATTTTATCAATTTCAAAGATTTTCAAAATACCACATATCGGTGGGTTTCGTTATGTGTGCGTTATACGAAAATGTGGACATATGCATGGAACTTGTGCATAAAATGTTCCGCCACCGAAACTAGAAACCATTGCGAACTACAAACACAAATTTTTAGACAAATCCGTGGAAAAATCTGGCAAAAGTCATCAAAATACCGAATATCGGGAGGTGCCGTTATATGGCAGCTATACCAAAACGTGGATAGATATATTTAATCCCAGACACAAAACAAAATGCTCTGCGTAAAAGCTCTATGTACGTCAAGTAATGTGGGCTGTATCGTGATTTCAACAGACAGACTTTTCAAGGCGGGGGTATAAAAATATATGTCTGTGCAAAATTTGAAGAAAATCAGACATCTATAACCAATTTTGGGGTATAATTGTTAGTCATAATTTTTACCTTTTGTGGGGATGTACAAGAAGAAGTAAGCCGATGAATTCTATATTCTCATCAGATCTTTGATTGAGCAAAATATTTATAAATGCCTAGTTTGAAAAGAATCGCCGACTTGTTTCGCACATTATGAGAGATATAAGTACTGCAAACCATGAACCTTTGTGGGAGAGGTACCAGAGGGTATAGACCGATATTTATCATTTTCACCCCGGGACGTGCGTTGGTAAAAATATTGGGATACATGAATGTGATGCTTATTTTACATTTTATGAGATATACAATTATTCAAAAATTTGACCCTTTGTGGAGGAGCTACCAGATGGAGTAGACCGCAAGACCGATATATCCCACCTTCTCACCAGATCTTTTGTTAATAAAAATATCGGACTATTGTTTCACACTTTAAAAGAGTTATAGTTAATCTCTTTTAAAGAGTTATAATTATTCCAAGTTTTGACCCAAGGTGGGGGAAGTACTTGATGGAGTGGGCCGATATGGACCTTGTCCTGATAAATATAATGGGATTTGCAAAAGTTGAACAGAATTTATTAATCCTTTCTTGTTCTATGAGATAATTTTTTCTCTTTAAAAGAGTTGTAATTGTTCCATGTTTATGGAGTGGTCCGATATGGACCTCGCGTTGACATAAATAATGGGATTTGCAAAATTTGAACATAATTTAAACTTACTTTCTTGTTCTATGAGATAAATTATTTTCTATTAAATTTTTACGTTTTTTGGGGGAGGTACCAGAAGGAGTAGACCGATATTGCCCATCTCCGAACGCGATTTAAGTTTGAAAATAATAGTACACCCTTCGAGAGTTATCGTTCGCACCAGCCAGACAGACGGACGGACGGACGCCCCTAAATCGACTCCAAATATCCTGAAACGGATTTGGTCCAAAGAGACCTAGGATGTAAAACTAGGATCATATGGCTACAGAGCCTCATCGAAATAAAGATGAGGCTCTTAAGCCATATGACCTTATAATTAACAGGCGTAAAAAGAGTGGTGTGACTCACATATCATTAAGTAGGGTGGGGGTCTTTATATTTCAAATCGATTCATAGATTTTGAATTAAGAACTCTATCCACAAAACAGCCTCTTTCTTTTTTTCATTTTAAATGAATATTTGTTAAATGTTATTATAAACAAATACCACGATTAGATTATCTCAAGTTGTTGTATATACTTTAGGCCGATAAGATTCATAATTTGAATGTCAAATACTGGCCAAACAAACAAAGGCATTAACGCTTTAGCCTCCGCTCAAGAATGTCCACCGCATTAGCTGTTATTACCTTATCTCTGTTTATTCTTGGATTTTGGATTCATTTGTCACAAAAGCCCAGACGAGATGCAGTGAAGAACATAAATGGACCATATAATATACCCCTGCTGGGGGCTTTGCAAGAATCTTATGGTCTAACTCCGGAAAGTAAGTCAATTTCAAAACCACTTTGTTGTGTCATACACACACACACCCACACACTTCTTGTTAATTCGGCTTTTATTTGCAGATATCTTTGACAAGTCCTTTGAAATGGGTTTAAAATATGGCCTAGTTTTAAAGGCGTGGATTTTCAATCGTTTGATTATTGCAAGTGGCGACGCCGAATTAAACGAACAACTCTTAAGCAGTACCGTTCAGATTCGTAAGCACACATTGTACAGCATCCTCCACGAATGGCTGGGCAATGGCTTGTTGACCAGTGATGGCCACAAGTGGTACACACGACGTCGCGTAATTACCCCAGCATTTCATTTTAAAATTCTTGAAGAATTTGTAGAAGTATTCAATCGCAATTCAAAGACTTTGGTGAATTGTTTAGCCACAAAGGCCGATGGTAAGAGTGCTTTCGACGTGTATCCGTTTGTGTGTGCCCACACACTGGACATAATTGCCGAAACCGCAATGGGGACAAAGGTGAATGCCCAGACGGGTGGGACCAAGCAATATACGAATGCAGTTTTGGAGTAAGTAGATTGACATAAATCGACACAAAGTGCAAAAAACGTATCTTTTTCTGAACCCAAATATACAGGGTGAGATAAAGAACTGCAACAAAGTCAAACGCCAAAATTTCTCAATTTTTTTTAATTTTATTGAATGGAAACAAAAAATGTCGGAAATAGCATCAAATTTTAGAATTAGTTTAGCTTTGCTGAAATTGGCCACCTTTGTCACGAATATAGCCTTCAAATGCCCAATGAAACCGTCACACGCTGCCCGAATGTTGCTCTGCGGTATTTTGGCCTATTCCCGGCGAAGCACTTGCTTGAGGTGATTGACACTTTGGTATTTTTATACCCACCACCATACATAGTATAGAGGATATATTAAGTTCGTCATTCCGTTTGTAACTCATCAAAATAATCATTTTAGACCCAACAATTATATATATACTTGATCAGCGTAAAATTCTAAAACGATTTAGCCCTGTCCGTCAGTCTGTCTGTTCTAATCACACTACGGTCAAAACGAATTAAGATAGGAAGCTAAAATTTTGAACAGATCTGTCTTTTTTCTGCAGGCAGGTCAAGTTCGAAGATGGCCTATATCGGTCCACGATATCGTATAGCTACCATATAACGGTACCCCCCATATTCGGTATTTCGGTGATTTTAGCCAGATTTTCAATGGAATTGTCTGTAATTCCACACAAGGAGTCCCTTGTGAGTACCCCCTTTACCCCCTGAAAGAGAATTGTCTATATAGGTCCACGATATTGTATCTCCCCCACATAACTGTAACTCCCGATATTAGGTATTTTAATGGTTTTAACCACATTTTTTAATGAAATTGTCTGAAATTCTACACAAGGAGTTCTCTGTGAGTACTTTAGCCCCTGAAAGTAATTTTTTTATATAGGTCGACGATATCATATGGCCCCCATACAATGGTGCCCCGCGATATTGGGTATTTTGATGATTTTAGCCATATTTTTCAATGGAATGGTCTTATAATCCACAAAAGGAATTCTTTGTGAGTACATAACCCCCTGAAAGAGAGTTGTCAATTTTTTTTTTTTGAAAATTTTCAAGCTTTTTCCAAATAGTGGAAGGGTATAAAAAGTTCGGCCCGGCCGAACTGATCTGCTTTTTTACTTGTTTTTATACCCTACACACAAGGTGGTCAGGGTATTTTTTTGATTGTTTTTTTTTTTTTGTCCTCCACAGCCGTAATATGCACTCTGTAATAACGCTATTTAGGTAATTATATCAAATACGGCTGAGAAATACCATTGATATTTTTTTATCGAGATCCAAATAGTGGAAGGGTATAAAAAGTTCGGCCCGGCCGAACTGATCTGCTTTTTTACTTGTTTTTATACCCTACACACAAGGTGGTCAGGGTATTTTTTTGATTGTTTTTTTTTTTTGTCCTCCACAGCCGTAATATGCACTCTGTAATAACGCTATTTAGGTAATTATATCAAATACGGCTGAGAAATACCATTGATATTTTTTTATCGAGATCGGTTCACATATATCTTCGTCCGATTTGTCTTTTATTGTACACCAAAGGTGTAATATCAGCCCAAATGTTATGGAGTTTTGCACATACGACCAAATTAACCCTGAAAATAAGTATATCAAATTTGATGGAAATCGTTTCAGATACAGCTATTGCTCCCATATATATTCTTCATTCGATATGTTAGTTTTGTCCTCCGCAGCTTTAATATGCACTCTGTAACAATGATATTTAAGGAAATATATCAAATACAGCGCAGAAATACCTGTGCTAAATTTTATGGAGATCGGTTCAGTTCTGGATATAGCTCCCATATATATCTTCGACCGATGTGCCTTTTGATTTCCACCAAACGTGTAATATTAGTCCAAATGGGATTTGGCACTTTGGACCAAATTGAGAAACAAGTATGTCAAATTTGGGGAAAATCGGTTCAGATATAGCTATAGCTCCTCTATATATTGTTCATCAGATTTGTTGAATTTGTCCTGCACAGCCGTAATATGCACTACGTAACTACGGTATTCGGGGAAATCTATCAAATACAGCTGAGAAATACCTTTGCCAAATTTTATCGGGATCGGTTCATATTTGGATACAGCTCCCATATATATCTTTATCCGATTTCAAGCTAATTGTGCACCAAATGGGCAATATAATTCCGAATTTAAAAGATACAAATGCTTCGGCATATTTAGTCCTTTGAACTTTAAATTATAATTATAATCATAGAGCGTATGATTGAATTCTCCCATAAAAACTTTTAATTGTTATGTGGAGCTCTACTTAATTAGCAAAGTGGTGTAGGGTATCACAAAGTCGACCCCGCCTGACTTACTTTCTTTACTTGTTTTAGAATGATGAAATTAACATAAAATTTCACTTTAATCAGAAGTTATCAAAAGAAGCAATATTCCATATAAAACTCCACTATAAATCTCGCTGTTCAATAGCAAGTCTGAATTGTGGATAATTCCAAGTGGACTTGATATTACTCGTTTGTAGATACACACCAGCACAGGGACCACTATAGGTTGAGATATATGTTTGAAAACATTTAGTATAGAGTTTTTAAATTTGACAGAGATCTTTATCATCACATGGTCCACTTTTTGGAGTAGTACTAAATGACACTATATTTTCCACATTTGTTTGCCCAAGGAAACCCCTATTTGAATTCGGGATTATATGAATATACATGTACACATACAGCAGAAAAAAAACCTCGTCAAATTTAGTAGAAATTAATACAGATTTCAAAGTTCAGCCGTTATAAAGTCGTAACTAGCATTTAAAAAGATCACTATTGGAATCTCGGACCCGACCGGCCTTTGGCCGTTCCATACAGGTGTAAGAAAAAGATAATTACTAACTTTTTAATCGAAACATTACAATTTCAGAATGACTAAAACGGTTGCATGGCGTTTTCTGCGCATTCATCTGCACAGTGATTTCCTCTTTTCCGTACTGCATCCCTTCAAAAAGAGGCAATCAGAGAAGAATTTAAAAATAATGCATGATTTCACCCACAAAGTGATCAAGGAGCGACGAGATGCCTTGGAAGCATCATTGAAGAGTGCCAATGGAGATGTGGCCACTAAAAAACGAATGGCTTTATTGGATGTCTTGTTGCAGTCAACAATTGATGGAGAACCGCTGACCGATGAAGATATCCGTGAAGAAGTCGATACCTTTATGTTTGAGGGCCATGATACCACAGCCACTTCAATGGCATGCTCCCTTTACATTTTAGCCCGTCACCCCAGAGTGCAGGATAAACTCTTGGCCGAAATCAATCAAGTTTATGGCGAAGATTTCTCCAAGCCCATAACTTTGCAGAGTCTAAACGATCTGAAATATATGGAGTGTGTGATAAAGGAGTCGCTGCGTAAATTTCCCCCAGTACCGTTAATTGCTCGAAATCTTACAGAAGATTTTAAGTATAGTAAGTATAATATGTTTAAAATTTCCATTATTGGAAAATAAATTGTAATCCTCTTCCCACAGCACACTCGATCCTTGGCGATGGAGTTATACCAGCTGGCTCGGAATTCATTGTCATTGTCTTTGGCATGGGATATGATCCGCAGGCATTCGATAATCCGCTTAATTTTATTCCTGAACGCCATGAAAACCTGGATTTAAAGAGCAGTTTCCAATTTATCCCATTCAGTGCTGGCCCACGCAATTGCATTGGCCAAAAGTTTGCCATGTACGAGATGAAAGTCACTTTGATCCACGTCATCCGATCGTTCGAATTGTTGCCATTGGGCGAAGCATTCGTGCCCGAGCTGGGAATTGTTCTACGTTCCGTCACTGGCATGCAATTGGGCTTGAGGAAGAGAACCATTTAAATTTTCATGAAAGACAAATTGTGATATTTTTAATAAAAAATTACATACTCATTGAGACAAACATGAGCCTCGTTGCAGAACACAATTTTGCGATTTTTTTAATTTTGCTTAAACAAGCACAAATTTTGAAAATGAAATTCGGAGGATTGAAGTGATGCTGGACAGTAAAAAAGAAATACCCAATAGAAAATTGAATTTTGACATAAAGGTAGCAATAAATAAGTGGGATTTTTCATACTTTGGTATAACCCCTATTCTTTATAGAATCTCGAAGTTTCCTACGTAAGTAAATATTGATACGAACCCATATGTGCAGCTCTGTTTTTCGGAATCAGTACTGAATTTTGTGCTCTTAACGCCAAATAAAATTTGATATTAACCAGTTTCTTAGGCATTAATTATTGAACATTTTAAAACGGCTATAATTCCTTACATATTGAGTTTTCGGCGATTTTAGCTATTATTTGTGATCACTTTTTAAAGCTTAAATTATTAAATATTTTAAAATGGTCATAACTCCTTAAATATTGAATTTTTGACGTTTTTAGCTATTATTTGTGATCACTTTTTAAAGCTTGAATTATTGAATATTTTAAAATGGCCATAACTCCTTTAATATTGAGTTTTCGGCGTTTTTAGCTATTATTTGTGATCCATTTTTAAAGCTTGAATTATTGAATATTTTAAAATGACCATAACTCCTTATATATTGAGTTTTCGGCGTTTTTAGCTATTATTTGTGATCACTTTTTTTAAGCATGAATTATTGAACATTTTAAAATGGCGACAACTCCTTAAATATTGGGTTTTCGGCGTTTTTAACTATTATTTGTGATCACTTTTTAAATCTAGAATTATTGAACATTTTAAAATGGCCATAACTCCTTAAATATTGAGTTTTCGGCGTTTTTAGCTATTATTTGTGATCACTTTTTTAAGCATGAATTATTGAATATTTTAAAATGGCCATAAACCCTTTAATATTGAGTTTTCGGCGTTTTTAGCTATTGTTTGTGATCACTTTCTAAAGCTTGAATTATTGAATATTTTAAAATGGCCATAACTCCCTTAATATTGAGATTTAGGCGTTTTTAGCTATTATTTGTGATCACTTTTTAAAGCTTGAATTATTGAATATTTTAAAATGGCCATAACTCCTTAAAAATTGAGTTTTCGGCATTTTTAGCTATTATTTGTGATCACTTTCTAAAGCTTGAATTATTGAATATTTTAAAATGGCCATAACTCATTTAATATGGAGATTTCGGCGTTTTTAGCTATTATTTGCGATCACTTTTTTAAGCATGAATTATTGAATATTTTAAAATGGCCATAACTCCTTAAATATTGAGTTTTCGGGGTTTTAACTTTTATTTGTGACCACTTTTTATACCCTCCACCATACTATGGAGGGTATATTAATTTTGTCATTCCGTTTGTAACTCCTCGAAATATTCATGTCAGACCCAACAAAGTATATATATTCTTGATCAGCGTAAAATTCTAAGACGATTTAGCCATGTCCGTCTGTCTGTCTGTGAGTCTGTCTGTCTGTCTGTCCGTCTGTCTGTCTGTTGTAATCACGCTATCTTTCGAACAAATTGAGATAGAAGGCTAAAGTTTTGCACACATGTATTTTTTCCCAGTAGGCAGTTTAAGTTCGTAAATGGGCCATGTTGGTCCTAGTTATCATATAGCCCCCATATAACGGTACCTCCCGATATTCGGTATTTTGATGATTTTAGCGACATTATTCACCGGAATTATTTCAAATTTGGCATTTGAAGTTTGTAATGGATGCTACAGCCTAAGACAGAAAATTATCTGTGTCTGTAGGCGTCTTCCTGTAGGCCCCATATAACGGTACCCTCGATATTCGGTTTTTGATGATTTTAGCGACATTGTTTACCGGAATCGTTTCAAATTTGGTATTTGAAGTTCGTAATGGATACTTCATCCAAAGTCAAAGAATGAGCCATGTAGGTCCACGTCTTCATATAGCCCCCATATAACGGTACCCCCCGATATTCCATATTTTAATGATTTTAGCGACGTTATTTACAGGGATTGTTTCAAATTTCGTATGTGAAGTTCGTAATGGATACTTCAGCCCATGCCAGAAAATTGTCTGTGCAAGTCCACGTCTTCGTATAGCCCCCATATAACGGTACCCCCCATATTCGGTATTTTGACGATTTTAGCTACATTATGAACAGATTTTTCTTCAAGTTTCGCATTTAAATATTGTAATAATTTATGACAAAAGTTGCCTATGCAGGCCCACGTCGTCGTATAAGCATTCGGTATTTTTAAGATTTTAACAGAATTTTTAACGGGTTTTATTTTTTGGAAATTGCCAAATTTGTACCAAATGGTGGAGGGTATTAAAAGTTCGGCCCGGCCGAACTTACAGCTTTTTTACTTGTTTAAGCATGAATTATTGATTATTTTAAAATGGCCAAACTCCTTAAATATTGAGTTTTCGGCGTTTTTAACTATTATTTCTGATCACATTTTTTATACCCTACACCACATAGTGGTAAGGGTATTATGTCTTTGTGCATTTGTTTGTAACATGGAGAAGGAAACGAGATAGACCCATAGTTACTTTTGAGAACCTTCATAGAATCACTTTCTGAGTCGATTTATGCATGTCAGTCCGTCTGTCCGTCCGTCCGTCTGTCCATGTATTCTTGTGAACAAAATGCAGGTCGCATTTATTATCCGATTGAGATGAAATTTTCCAAACAATATTTTTTTTGGCCCAAGGACGAACCCTATTGAAATTGGTGAGAATCGGATCAAATTTAGATATAGCTCCCATATATATCTTCATCCGATTTCGGGTTAAATGTGCACCAAATATCCACTATCAGTCCAAATTACCTGAATTTTGGCACACCCAACCGAGTTCGGCCTAGAAGCAAGTATATCAAATTTGGAGAAAATCGGTTCAGATATAGCTATAGCTCCCATATATATCTTTCATCCGATTTGATCTTTAAGTCCCTCACATTCCTACTATGCACTCCACAACCGTGATATTTGGTACCAGGTATTAGATGGAGCACAGAAATAGCTGTTTTAAATTTTATCGAAATCGGTTCAGATTTGGATATAGCTCCCATATGTATCTTCATCCGATTTCGGGTTAATTGACCACCAAATGGCCAATATCAGCCCAAATGGCCCGAATTTTGGCACATGTGGCTGAGATTAGCCTTAAAGCAAACACAACAAATTTGGAGAAAATCGGTTCAGAAACAGCTATAGCTCCCATATATATCTTCATCCGATTTCGGGTTAAATGTGCACCAAATGTCCACTATCAGTCCAAATTACCTGAATTTTGGCACACCCAACCGAGTTCGGCCTAGAAGCAAGTATATCAAATTTGGAGAAAATCGGTTCAGATATAGCTATAGCTCCCATATATATCTTTCATCCGATTTGATCTTTAAGTCCCTCACATTCCTACTATGCACTCCACAACCGTGATATTTGGTACCAGGTATTAGATGGAGCACAGAAATAGCTGTTTTAAATTTTATCGAAATCGGTTCAGATTTGGATATAGCTCCCATATATATCTTCATCCGATTTCGGGTTAATTGACCACCAAATGGCCAATATCAGCCCAAATGGCCCGAATTTTGGCACATGTGGCTGAGATTAGCCTTAAAGCAAACACAACAAATTTGGAGAAAATCGGTTCAGAAACAGCTATAGCTCCCATATATATCTTCATCCGATTTCGGGTTAAATGTGCACCAAATGTCCACTATCAGTCCAAATTACCTGAATTTTGGCACACCCAACCGAGTTCGGCCTAGAATCAAGTATATAAAATTTGGAGAAAATCGGTTCAGATATAGCTATAGCTCCCATATATATCTTTCATCCGATTTGGTGTTTAAGCCTCTCACATTCGTAATATGCACTCCACAAGAATGATATTTGGTACCAGATATAAGATACAGCCCAGAAATAGCTGTTTGTAATTTTATCGAAATCGGTTCAGATTTGGATATAGCTCCCATATATATCTTCATCCGATTTCGGGTTAATTGTGCACCAAATGGCCGATATAAGTCCAAATGGACTGAATTTTAGTACATCGGACCAAATTCAGCCTAGAAGCAAGTAAAAGTCAAATTTAGTGAAAATCGGTTCAGATATAGATATAGCAACCATATATATGTTTCATCCGAGTTAGTGTTTTAGTCCCTTACATTCGTAATATACTCTTCACAGGAATGATATTTGGTACCAGATTTCAGATAAAGCCCAAAAATAGTCGATTTTAATTTTATCAAAATCTGTTCAGATATGGATATAGCATAGCCTAGCATACTCTTCACATTATTCTAACGATTTCAGGTTAATTGTGCACTAAATGGTCAATATCAGCCCAAATCACCTGAATTTTCGTACATAAGACCGAATTCAGTCTAGAAGCTAATATGTCAAATTTGGAGAAACCCGGTGCAGATATAGCTATAGTTCGTAAAATGCACGATAGAATTAGATAGATTTTGATTTTGTACCAAATATCTCATAGAGCTCTGAAATGCCCTGTATAAACCTTTTTACGAGAGCTCTACTAAATATTCATAGTGGTGTAGGGTATCATATAGTCGGCCCCGCCCGACTTTTGAGCATTCCTTACCATAAAATCGCCATAACTCCTTAAATATTGAGTTTTCGGCGTTCTAAGCTGTAATTTGTGATCACTTTTTAAATCTTGAATTATTGAATATATTAAAATGGCCATAACTCCTTACATATTGAGTTTTCGGCGTTTTTAGCTATTATTGTGATGACTTTTTTAAGCATGAATTATTGAATATTTTAAATGACTGTAACTCCTTAATTATTGAGTTCTCGGCGTTTTTAACTGTTATTTGTGATCGCTTTTTACAGCTTGAATTATTGAATATTTTAAAATGGCCATAACTTCTAAAATATTGAGTTTTCGGCGTTTCTATATATTATTTAAATATTGAGTTTTCGGCGTTTTTAGCTATTATTTGTGATCACTTTTTAAAGCTTGAATTATTGAATATTTTAAAATGACCATAACTCTTTAAATATTGAGTTT